GGTCGCTTGCTCGTTTGCCACCTTGTTATATAAAAAAAAAAATATTGGCAAAGAGCGTCATTAGCAGGGGTTTAAGCACTGGACTTGTAATCTATAGGTCTTGGGTTCGAATCCTGCCGTACCAATGTGATTTTTAAATTTCATGTGTACATATGTATATGTATAAGAAAATTAATAAAATTTTAAATATCTCACAGTCTAAGTTATATGACTTAAAAAAGAGTGTTACAAATTGGCTTTATCAACTAAAATATGAAAAGGCAGAAACAATACTCGAGTGAAACTAGCAAAGATACTCTAAACATCTCTCACACACACACACCAACACTCACACAACACTCACACAAACTCACACAAAATGCAACAAAGAAACACACGAACAAAATATAAAAATTCTTAGAATATAGGTATAATTATTATTTATAAAAATGTATTGTATGCTATGGAAGAATGGGACATTCTGTCACAATTAATTATTTTACTTACAAGAATGTCCCAGCAACGGATACTTAAGTATAAAAATTTATGTTTTTAAGTAATGAACAATTTATTATTATTATTATTTATTATTATATAATTAACCCAACATTCTTACGGCAAAGAAAAACATCACAATGCCTGCATATGGGCAAAGAAATTCAAAGATATGTGTGAAGTCAACCCGCGGTGCAGTAAGGTTGATTATAATCTAGTCACTCCTTATACAAGGCTCTGAGCCCCTCAGTGGGGATATAGTGAGCTGGTGATGATATGATGATGAATTGGAGCTCAGAGTTCCTATTAACATATATTATTTATTACAGACATTCCATATACTGAAGAATATGATAAAGATGATAAAACCAGTGATTATAGAGCGGAAAGTGACAAAGATGAAAGCGACACAGATTCTATAGACGAGGAATCTCTGAAAGATGCGGAATTGGATCTCACCGATGACCAAAGAGAGGAACGAAGAGTTAAAGCGGAGAGTTTAAAGAATGAAGGAAATGAAGCGTTTAAAATTGGTGAATATGAGAAAAGCGTTGAAAAGTATACTGAAGGT